TCCCATGTGAGTCTGGGTATCACAAATTGCTGTCCCAGAATCTGCTCACCTCAGAAGGAGTTTATGAGCTCAAGTGACCAAACCTGCCCGGAGGCTTTCTCAGAGCCTTGCCCGGCCACCTCTGAGGACCGATCACACTAAATCAGGAAAGGCGATTCTAGCAGGTCTGAATCCCCACCCAGACCAGGGATTCCTTGCAGGCAGGGGCCATGTGTCACGCATATCATCGTGGGCCTGACACACTGTAAGTCCTCAAGAGATGCTTGCTGACTGCATATAGGAATGAATACGTGGATGCCTAACATCCCTGTGTTGGGCTTGGAGGGGCGGATGCCCACATTCTGCCCCTCTTCTTGCCCAACCCTGGCCCAAGACTTGAGAAGTCCATGAAGCATCACAGAGACATGGGGCAGAGACCCAAGGGGCATGACTAAAATGTGCCCTGCCTCTTCCTTCCTAAGGACAAGACTGACTCCCAGCCATACTCAGGACCTCGCAGGGCTGCAGGGACCTCACAAGGAAGAAGTCCCCTGGCTCCAAGTGGATGTTTAAGACCAGGTCCCCAAGCATGGGCTCTGAGAACTGAGGTAATCTGAGTGGCCCGCCCAGCTCAGAGCTGCCACTGCATTTACTTCCACTAATTAACCAGAGTGTTAGTACAGGAGGGATCGTGAGAGCCTGGGCCAGGACAGATGGCTGCCCCACCCACGGAAGGAATGTCATGCTCAGCCCCAGGGAAGCAACGCACTCAGCCCTGGTCCTCGGCCTGAATGCTGGCAGGAGCCTGGAGGAGACCATCCCAGGGACACTTGCTGGAAGCCCTCGAGTGCACCCTGCTTTGCGTGAACCAATTTAGATGATGGGTAGGCAAGAAACGCTGCCGAACAGTGTCCTGGGGGCCGGCGGCAGGACAGAAAAGCCAACTGGGGACTGAATCATGATGGCAGACTCCAACCACTGAAGGGCTCTGCAGAGCATCTCCTAAAGCCTCGCCATTTTCAGAGGGGAATCAGGGACCCTGAGAACACAGGGGACCTTCTCAAGCCTCCCACCCACCCCCACCCGTGAATGAGCATCGGACTCCAAGTCCGTACCTGCCATCACATCACATCAGCCCCACCCCCATCTCAGCAGATACACAGAGTTAATTGTCCCCAGCAAAACTGCCAACTAACTGATTGCTATCAGCTGGCAGGAGAGAGCAAGCCCAGCTGGAGTAGGGACCACAAACAGACGTGTTTCCTGGTGAGACACACTCACTGATGAGTGTCAGACCAGGGAAAGGTCCCATAGGAGTCCTGGGAGACTGAGAATCCCCTCCCCCCGCCCCTCACTGAGCACACGCCCGTGCCTCCTCTCCATGGACAGCCTCTTGGGCCAGGCCACAGTCACCTGCAGAACCGACTTCCCGGGGCCTATGGTAAGACAGGATGGCCGAGCTGGGCCTTCTCCAGTTCTGCAGTAGTAAGGGCTTCACTCTCGGCTCTGTGCTGTCCCTAGTCCCCAGCCCTAGCAGGGTGGGCTCACGCAAGAGGCTCTTCATTCCCCCAAAAACAGACCTAAACACTGTGCCAGATCTATACAAAAAAATCTATCCCAGACCATTCACACACAGAGACACACTGAACACTCACACATGAACAGTGAGCGGCACCTGCTCCTCTGTTCAGAGCGCCAGCAGTGGAGGCAGCGTGGCCCGCTCCCTCCAACGGACCAGCCACGTGCACTCCACCAGAGAATCCACAGCTTCTTTACCTGTGGCCCCTTTGAAGGCGAAGGAATCCTTCCTTCCAGCTAGCTCTTCCATGGAAGGGAACCAGAGGAGGGGCAGGGCAGTGTGATGTTTGACCAGAGAAACAACCACCTTTCACAGGTGGGGACACTGAGGCTCAGGGAGGGAAAGGACTCGCTAAAATCACCTGGGGGCAACAGCTTGGAGCAACGTGTTGAGGAAGAGCCTTGACTTCACTGAGAACTAGTCATGGCCACCAGGGCCTGGCAGGGGAGGCTTGTTCCAGCTCAGCCTGGCCCGGGCCTCCACCCCCTCACGGGGGCTTGGTGCAAAGTAGAACTAGATGCCCTTTCCAAGCAGCAGGCGGGCTGGATTCCCCACATCCCTTCACTGGGAAATGCCATGCAGGGGACGACTCACAGGGCTGTGCCTGAGTGCAGTAGCCAAGACCCTTCACTCCTCATCAACCCCTGCCCCTCCCTGCCAACTATGGGCTTGTCATCTGTTGTTTTGTAAAAATATTTCTTGAGACCAAAGGAGGTCCTAAGTCATCAACCCTGTTTCCGGGCAAGGCAATCAGTTCTCCAAACAGGGAAAAGGCACGCTGAAAGGCCCATGTATAAGATAAGGACTCCCATGCTCTAAAATCGTGGGCAAGGAGCACACTGCCTCCGCCATACCCAGAGCCATGGCTTTCTCATCTGGTTTCTCTTCTCCAGCTTTATTCCTCCCTTCGTGCTGCTTTTTACAGGGTCTTTCCAAAGCCTTCCACAGGCTCCTTGTGACCTTCAGAATCAGGCCCAACCTCTATCAAGCCCACCTCAGCGCGGCCCCTGTCTGTCAGCCCCTACTACACACTTCAGCCAAACCAAACCAAACCACACAGTACTCCCTCATACACTGGCCATGGTGCGCTTCTGTGCTGTGCTCAAAAGCTTCCCCCAGCTTGGAATCCCCTTCATAGCACCACTGCTTCAATCCAAAAGGCAATCCAGGCCCTGCCCACCAGCCAGGAGAGTCTAGAGAACGCAAACTGAGGCCAGGCCCCTCCCAGGACTCTGCCAAAGAAGAGGGAGGCTATGGTCTGGGGACAATCTGCTATGGAAATCAAGTGGGATGTCCTTCACTCCACGCTTTCAACCCTTGGCTGGACCCTGTTCAGGCTACCTCTGGCTTCTCTGAGACCTCCATGGCAATTATCTATATTGCATCTACTTCCTGCTCCAGACTGCCCTCTTGGAAGGAAAGATGCCATTATCCTCCTCTGTGTGTCCCTATGCCCAGCTGGGTCAGGCCTGGGGTATAGTTTATGAGGTAAGGTAGCTTCTTGTGTTGCCTTACACATCAGGCTGAGCTCCCTGTTGGCTAGTTTCACGTTGCTTCTGGTGTTTATGTGCATGGGGGCAGGTTGCGGGGGGGGGGTGGTTGGAGCATGTCAATGCCCCTACAGGATCTGATTCTTGCCTCAATTTCAGAAACATTGCTTTTTGTACACAACCAAGTGTCTGGAGGTGCTCCCTAATCCAAGGAAGGGCAGAAAGGGAGGCCTGTCACTAGGTGAGGCCTCACAAGCCCACCCTTATGGACTGAAGCCACCATGGGGTCCAAACAGAGGTATGACAGGCATCCAAGACTCCCTCAACAATAAACAAGGCACGTGGATAGGTCCCGGCCTGCTCTCTGGATCCAGATCTTTCAGGATTACAAACCCCCAAAGAATAATCAGCATAATCAAGAGACAGGCCCCAAATACCATTCCCATGGCTGCTCCCCTACGAAAGTTGTCATTGTGCTTTTTTATTGTGCACCCTTATAGAAGGTTTGGGCCCCCTCATCCTCGGTATATGTAAACCAATTTACAAAACTGTATTCAGTCCATGTATTAAATAGTGTTTTGCAGTGAGCCATATTCCCCAAATTCTTATGTTGAAATCCTAACTGCCAGTACCCCAGAATGTAACTCTTTTTAGACACAGTGTCTTTAAATAGGTGATTAATTTAAAATGAGATTATTAGGATGGGCCCTAACCCAATCTGACTGGTGACCTTGTAAGAGGGGGACATTTGGGCACGGATATGTACAGAGGGAAGACCTTATGAAGACATGGGGGAGATAGCTATCTACAAAGCAAAGAAGCCTCAGAAGAAGCAAAGAGTGCTGATGCCTCTATCTAGATGAATTTTTGTTGTGTGTCTGTGCTACTTTGTTATAGCAACCGTAGCAAACTAATATAGTAAGGCTTAATTTCACTCGTTTTAAAGATAAACAGGCCTTTCGAATATGTTCTCGGCATACCTCATTTTGTTGGCTACTCTCACGGTGGGGCTGAATTTTAGAATAAAGTCATCAGGCCAGAGGAAATGTGGGGTCTGGTGGCTTCTGGTCATCTCCCCCTGTGGGCCTGAGAGTATCTGGGAGAATCAGAGAAGCACCCAGAAGTGTAGTTTGCCACAGACCAAAGCGTGGACCCAATGCACCTTTTGCCAGTGTTTCCCAAATTCATCCAGGTGCCTCAGTTCCACCTGGAAGTTGTGAGGTGGGGCTCAGAACTTGTTTTTGTTAAGCAGGCCAGGTGCTTCTCAGAACTGGAAGCATTTGAGAAACCCTAGTCCAGGCCATTCCACACTAGGAGATGGGTCTGTAGTGTAGAGTGTGAATGCTGAATGTATCTGGGCACGTCTGAGCATCCCTACCATGTAGAGGAAGGGAGAGAAGCTGGTGATCCAGCCTCCCATCCCATCCCTTCGATCCCATCTCTAGGCCAGCCTCCTCTGTCTGTTGGGACCTCTGTTGAGGCAGCTAGTCTGCAGTTTTGTCATTGCTGCATTTGCGGATCAGTTTTGCACCCAGCGTTTTTGTTTTTATTTTTTGAATCAACAAGCGTGTGAAAGAAACGCCTTCTGCTCCCCCGCCCCGAGTAACTTTGCGAAGTCCCAGACGCCTTTTTTTTTTTTTTTTTTTTTTTTTCCTCCCCTGGGTGTGGCCGGCCCGTGACTCTTCTCCCAGGCTCTGGGCCCTCAAGTGAAACCTAGGTTCCCCCCGCCCCATCCACGACAACCTCCCCCCCACCCGCCATTCTGGGAACGGCGGTGGAGAAGAGATTGAGGGACGCCCTGGCGAGGGGTCTGTGCTCCGGGCTTGGTGGGGCAACAGGTGTGCGGATCGCGCAGCTGCAGCCCCCAACTCCCCGACCGAGCGCAGGTTCTTTCCAAACCTCTAAGAGCATCCGTCCCACCTCCGACCTCCGCCCGGCTACCCCCAGCTCACCCAGGCCGGCAGGTGCTGGTCCCGCAGCTCGCGGCTAATGAACTGGCGTTCGTTGTCTAGGAATTCGAAGGCGGCCGCCAGGCGCCCAAGCTTCCCGCGGCGGTTCCTGCGCCACCACATCCACAGCAGAGCGCCGAGCAGCAGCCAGGTTATGCTGAGCCCCACGTAGCCGGCTAGGTAGACGGGAGCCAGGTAGAAAAGCACTCGCGCCGCAAAGGTGTACAGCTCCGGCAGCAGCTGGCTAGATAGGCGCGGCTCGGGGCTGGGTGCGCGCTGGTCTCTCTGGGTACCGGGGTCACCAGGAGCGCCGGGGGCGCAGGGCTCCTCCGCTTGCATCTCGTCGCCGCCTTGGTGTCCTTTCCCAGAGCTTCACCTGAGCCCAGGTTCCCGCGCCCTGACACCCGGGCACATCGCTCGGCCAAGCGCGAGAACCCGGGCACCGTGCTACACTTGCCCTGCGGAACTCGCCCGTGCGGTCTTGGCGCTCAGCTCTCGGAGCTCCTCGCGCTGGAGGGCCGGACGTGCAGACACAGTGCGCAGCTGCGCTCTTCTCTCGGCCCTGCTCACAGCTCCCGATGTCTCCGCCCCCAGGGGCGGGCCAGGGGAAGGGGGCGGGGTCAGGCCGTGGGCGAGGCGGCTGTTGGGTTCTGAGCTGCGCCTTTAGACCCGCGACGTCGCGCGCCGCGGTCAGAGTAGGGTCGGGTTGCAGCGCCCGGGTAGAGCCTTAGTTGGAGTAGGTGCCGCCGAAGGCGGTGTATGACTCATCGAGGCGTGTGGACAGATGGCTTGTCATGGATAAACATCACAGAAAACCTGTTTCCTACACCCAGTCTACAAGAGGCAGTCTAGTATGGGCTGTTAGCTGGGTGTTCGAGGCCCTCCACGGACCGGCTCGCCGGACCTCCCCACCCAAGCGTGGGCCTGACTGAGCCCTCCAACTGGCCCCTAGAGCCCGGCATCGCTGCCCTCCTCTGGCATCTCATAAAGCTTAGACCTGGCCCCCAACAAAACCTAGCCACACCCAGGGTCCCTTTTGTCCTCCACAACAACCTCTGTCCCGCATTCTCCATTCTCTGTCGGGTGTCAGTTTGGATCTTAATTCCCTGCATCATCAAACCTGGCGTTTCCGGGTGGCCAGGCCAACCTGCTAGTCTCTGGGGTGCCCAACACAACAGGTGACGGGTGGGTACAAGAGAGATGAAGGGCAAGCTCTGAGGTGCTTGGGGGTCAGTTGTGGAGCCGATAGTTTCTACCTAATCCTTTTCTGAATTATCTGAGCAGGGGAGTCTCAGTCTCCACATTCAGACAGTAAACCATCTTGTGGAGGGGCATACATTTTAGGCGGGTCGCATGAGTGAGCACATCAATAACTGAAATGTGATTTTGGAGTTGACAAATGTACTGAAATGATTCTAAGCTTTCAGTAATTTCATTGAAAGGCTGGACCCAATGGACAAAAACCAGAAGATAACTCGATTCTCTTTCTTTCTGTCCCTTCAGGTATTCCTCTCTCACTCTGGCCTTACCCTTTTTGTCTACTGGATAAAATTACTCGCTGCAATGAGTGTTTTCAATAACAGGCTTGTTCCAGGTGGTTGGAACAGGTGGGCTCTCCTCTATCATTCCCAACCTTACAGGACTCAGTCAAAATGGAAGTTGAAACCCTTCCAGCTTAACACTGCTAAACTATTTCCCAGTGCAGCCTGGGAAATCAATGTAGGAAATGCATCTCATGTGAGGGTTTGTTTTGTTTTGTTGTTTTAGGTTTTGTTTTGTTTTGAGAATTCCTTTTTGGATATACACAATCCTATTAAAGGCTCTGAGAAGTCCTTCAGATAGAAAGCTGTTAAATTTTAATTAACTCATGGATGCCTGGGTGGCTTTGTCAGTTAAGTGTCTGCCTTCTGCTCAGGTCATGATCCCAGGGTTCTGGGATCAAGTCCAGTGTTGGGCTCCCTCTCTGTTCCTTCTCCCTGCTCATGTCCTCTCTCTCATGCTCTCTCAAATAAATAAAATCTTAAAGTAAAAATAAATTTTATTTAACTCAATGTTAAATAAAATTATCCAAGGCATCCATGATGCCTTGAGGTTTTTTTTTAAACCACAGAATTCTTTTACTCAAAACTCTTCTCTTCTTGGTTGACCCAAATCAGCTCATGCTAAAGAACTCAGAATGTATGATAGGGATGTTGGCAAGTGCTCTGGAACCTGAGGCAGGAATCCTGCTGGCTGTCAGGATGGGTGCACCAGGAAGCTGACTGTTGACTGACTCAGCTCTGAATCCCTGCTGCTCTTCCTACTGACCCCACCTCCTTTGTCTCTGGCTGAAGTGGGGAACACAGCACCTTTCCCACAGCTTCAAGGATCACAGAACTTTCCAGAGACTGTTTGACCCTTATCCTGTCCCAATTCCAAATGCCCAGAGAGGACCCAACTGTACCCATCATCCCCCTTCTTCACACACACCAGGTCCACACCACATCCTTCTTGTGGGTTAGTGTCCTTGCAGAGGGAGTGTGGAAGGTAAGGTGTTTGGAGGACTTCAGATAATGGAAGGTGGCTGGTTTGTGAGCTGATGGACACCCACAGAGATGTCCAGCAAGAGACTCGGATCATCCTGTGGACCACTGCTAACCCCAGCTGCACTGCCTTCTCTGCTCCTCGAACACACCAAGCTCATGGATGCCTCAAGGCTTTTGTACTTGGTGTTTCCTCTGCCTGGAAACCTCCCCTCCTGAATTTTCCCCAAAATATGTTAGGGTAGTGGGATGATGGTTGATTTTCTTGTCTAAACTTTATTTACAATGCCATTAAATCGCTCTCATAAGTTAAATATGTAAGAACATTGAGATTGTGGCACTAGAAACTTCATATCCCACCTGAGGTTGAATCTGTGCCTAGAACATTGAAGCCATTATTTCCCTTGATTTGGACTCTCCAGTTACTATCGTCAGCAAAAGACATTTTTTTCTTTTTAGACTTTATTTATTTATTTGACAGACAGAGATCACAAGTAGGCAGAGAGGCAGGCAGGGGTGGGGGGCGGAGCAGGCTCCCTGCTGAGCAGGGCCCCCCCCCCCCCCCGCCGGCCCCATGCAGGGCTTGATCCCAGGACCCTCGGATCATGACCTGAGCCAAAGGCAGAGGCTTTAACCCACTGAGCCACCAAGGCACCCAGCAAAAGACATTTTATGTACTGTTTGATCATCACAAAACCTGGGCAGAATGTTGCCTTCCAAAGCCTTTGCTTGAATTCATTTGAGAGTTTATCATATTATAGCATTTTTTCGGAGAACAGGAGATCATTTGTTCAATATATTTATTAGCTACTCTTGTGGGCCAAATTGTGTCCCCACCCCCACAAATATGTTGAAGTCCTAATCCCTGGTATCTATAAATGTTATTTTATTTACAAATGGGGTCTTGGCAGATGTAATCATGTTAAGATGAGATCATATTGGATTAGGGTGGACTTTAAATTTATATGTGGTCCTTATAAACACAGAGATTTTGAAACAGACACAGAGGAATAAGGTCGTGTGATGACAATAATAGAAACTGAAAAGATGCAGCTATAAACCAGAAAGCAAGGGTGAAACAAGGAAGGCGTCTTCCCCAGAACCTTCAGAGAGAGTTTGGTTCTGCCAACACTGCGCTTTCAGATTGCTAGTTCCAGGACAGTGAAAAAAATAAATGTCTCTTTTACGCCCTCCAGTTTCTGGCATGTTGTTACGGCAGCCCTTGGAAACTAATACTGATAACTGCTATGTGCCAGGCACTGCTCTAGGTGCAGGAGACTCAGGGTGAACAGAATAGGCAGGATCCCTGCTCCTACAGAGCTGACATTCTAGTGAAGACAAAGAACAGGAGAATAGCAGGTAAGGAAAAACACTACGAAGAGGATGCAGTGAGGGGGGTGAGGGTGACTGGTGGAGGGTGGAGGGCTCTTTTCGCCAGGGTGATTTGGAAAGGGCTCTCTGAGGAGACATTTGTGTTGAGACCTAAATAAAAAAGAAGGCTAAAGAGGTACCTACGATTTCATTTTTTTTAAAAACGTAACATCTCATAAAAGCACCTGTCCTTTGGGACAGAAAGATAAGTAGCCTCTGCTGTGTAGATGTCATTAGCTTTGCTTTTGCATTTTCATGTGGGGCTAGGGTAATTTTCTTTGTGCCTGCCCACTCCATTAGACTGGGACTGCCTTGAGGGCAGTGGCTAACTCTGATGCCCTTAGGTCCAGCAGAGTTGAACATGCAGGAGGCTGAAAGAGCACTTGGGTGAGAGCATGGCTTTTGTCCTCCATGTGCCTGAGTTGAAATCTAGACTCGAGCACTTCCTGGCTCTGGGGAAGTTCCCTAAATTCTCTGAGGTTCTGTTTCCTCGTCTGGAAAATAGCGATCACAGTAATACTTAAATCATACGGGGGTGTGAGGACTCAATAAGACACATGGGTACAAAGCTATATATCTTGATGGGGAGGCTGTCAAGGAACACTTTAGTTTGGTCTATATTGTTTGACTTTTTACAAATACAAGGATGTACTTATATACTATCTGTATAATTACAGTTTTCTATTGTGAGAAAATGCATATAACAATTTATGATCTTAGCCATTTTGAATGCACAGTTCGGTGGTATTGAATAATGTTGTGCAATCATCACCCTATCCATCACCAGAGCTCTTCATCTCACAAAACTGAAACCCTCGTCCCCTCCTTCCTCCCACTGGCAACCACCATTCTGTTTCTATGATTTTGACTAACCTAGATATCTCATATAAGTCATATACATCACATGGAATTGTCTTTCTATGACTGACTTATTTCACTTAGCATAATGTCCTCAAGGTTCGTTCATATTAAGGCATAGGGCAAAATTCCCTTCCTTTTAAAGGCTGAATGATATTCCATGGTGTGTATACACCACATCTTGCTTACCCATTCATCTGGTGCTTAGATAGCTTCCACATGTTGCCACTGTGAACAATGCAGCCGTGAACATGGGGAATACAAATATCTCTTTGAGACTCTCTTTCCATTTTGAGGGGTGTAAACCCAGAAGTGGAATTGCTGGATCATATGGTAATTCTATGTTTAATTTTGTGAGGAACCACCATCCTGTTTTCCACAGGTTTTACCATTTCACATCCCCACCAACAATGCACAAGCCTCCACTTTCTCCACGCCCGTGTTATTTACCTTTGTTGTCGTTTCTTTTTTATAGTAATCCTCCTAATGGGCATAGAGGTATCTCACTGTGGTTCTGACTTGCGTTTCCCTAGTGATTAGTAATACTCAGTGCCTTTTCATATGCTCGTTGGTCCTTTGTATATTATCACTGAAAAAACACAGAAACACTTCTGGGGATATAATGTACAACCATGGCGACCATAGTTTTAAACCCAGTATTCCAAATTTGAAAGCCACGAAGAGCATAGATCTTAAAATTTCTCAACACACACACACACATACACACACACATGCACA